CGCCTGCTACAAGCTCACCTGTCAGCCTTTACTTTCCATGCCTTGCATCACCTGTAGTGTGCCATGGAGAGCTTGGCTGACCTGGGCAAGGCAGGCACGCACACAGACTCTGCTGTTTTCAACGGCACTTTGGTGCCTGGCCCAGCAAAGTGGAGCCAGGCGTGGTAAGACAAGGCCTGGCAAAGCAGAGCCGGACAAGAAGAGACCCAGTAAAACGGGGCATGGCCAGGCGTGACGGGCGAGGCCAGGAAGGGGTGGGCGAGGCAAATGAGTTGCAGCTGCTCCTGCGCACCACCAGCCTCCGAGTGCTCACTATTTCCTGTGTGTGTGTCGGGAGGCACCCAGCGGGGTTGGGGTGGGCCAGGGGTGAGGCAGCGAGGGCCAGTCCCTTGCTATTTCTGGAACAGCTCCAGGGGCTAAATTTGGGGCCTTGACGGGCCGCATCTGGGCCGTGGGCCTTGTGTTTGACGCGTCTGCTATAATAGGATTAATATACAATTGAGCGTACCATTGTTTAATCTCTAAAGATGAGAGCTAGTGTAGAGCCCCACCTGAGAAAAGTGGACAGTAATATGATGAGGAAGGTTTAGTAATGCAATGGAGTATGGAAGGTAGAATGACCTAAGTAAAGATACGTATTTATGGCTCGGGCAGTAAAGACGAGCTTACTATTTATTACCCTTTATCCCAATATTTAAGGGACAAATACCTTGTGGGTTTTACTCAGTTGCAAGCATACTGATCTAACTTGCAGAAGACTTTATACTTTTAATACAGATTTGAAGTTCCAAAGAGAGGCTTCATCTTCCTGTTGTTAATATCTGAAAGCAAAGAAATTATTCAACAGATGCACCCTCATTGCTATAATGTGAAATGGCTTATGATTAAATAGCAATAGATACAGTTTTAACTAGTATTTTATGACTGCATATCTGAGTAAACTGTTACAGATTTTTGGGTTGTGTGGATTACTATTACAAGTTATTTTTGAATTTTTTTATAATTAGGATTTATTTATTTATGTTTAATTAATCTTGGGAAGTGATTGCATTATGTAGAGTCCTGAGGGTTTTAGATGTGGTCAAAATAAACATAGTATTAATAGAATTTCAACTATGTGATAACTACTGATTTTTTTCAAATTTGATTATTATATCTTATGCTCCAAGAGATGTGCAAAAGTGCTAAAAATTAAAATGCTTTCAGAAGTAGAAGTGTTAATAGTTTATTTTTATCAGTTAACAAAATGGAAAGTAAATGAACAGAAAAAATCCAAATCAAATCAATATTTGGTGTGACCATCCTTTGCCTCCAAAACAGCACCAATTCTTCTTGGTACACTTGCACACAGTTTTGAAGAAACCCGGCAAGGTTCCTTCAGAGTTGTTCCAAACATTTTGGAGAACTAACCATAGATCTTCTGTGGATGTAGGGCTTTATGTGGGCCAAACCATCTCTTCCAAGACTTATTTGTTTTTCTTTACATTGAAAATAATTCTTCATGATATTGGCCATATGTTTGGGGCCATTGTCCTGCTGCAGAATAAATTTGGGGCCAATCACTTGCCTCTCTGATGGTATGGCATGATAGCTAAATATCTGCCTATATTTCTCAGTACTACCATTAATCCTGACTTAATCTCCAACTTCATTTGCAGAAATGCAGCCCCAAACATGCAAAGAACCTCCATCATGCTTCACTATTGCTTTCAGACACTCATATTATTGTGCCATTGTACCATTCTCCAGCCCTTTGGCAAACAAATTGCCTCCTGTTACAGCCAAATATTTCAGATTTTGACTCATCAGTCCAGAGCACTTGCTGCCATTTTTCTACATCCCAATTCCTATGTTTTCATGCATAGTTGAGTCGTGTAGTCTTCCTTCTATGTCAGAGGTATGGCTTTTTTTGCCGTAATTCTTCCATAAAGACCACTTCTGGCTAGTTTTCTCTGGACTGTAGATGAATGTACCTGGGTCCCAGTGGTTTCCACTAGTTCTCTGTTGATGGCACTGCTGGACATTTTTGATTGTCGAAGGAAGTAAATATGATATGTTTTTCATCTGCATTAAGTGTCCTTGGCCCACCACTGTGTCTCTGGTCCTCAATGCTGCCTATTTTTTGGTGCTTCTTCAAAAGACCTTGAATAGCACATCTTGAAACTCCAGCCTGCTTTGAAAACTTTGCCTAAACTACAACAGAAAAAGCTGTATAGTGGCTTAAAATTGGGTGAGGGATAGTGTGCAAATGTAAGAATTGGTGCTGTTTTGAAGGCAAAAGGTAGTCACACTAAATATGGATTTGATTTGGATTTCTTTTCTATTTAATTTCCATTTTTTTAATTGATAAAAATAAACTATTAACACTTCTATTTCTGAAAGCATTCTTAATTTACAGCATTTTTGCATAACTGCCTAACAGTTTTGCAGAGTACTATATGTTGGGGGAAACTTGTCAAGTGTGGAATAACTGATGATAATCTAATTTGCATTTTATATTACTATCTGTTAGCTCAAGATCAGGAATGCAAAAATTTCAGGGATTTGTCGTTTTAAGGTGTAATGTCAGGCACAAACAATCAAATCTGTACATGAAGAGTTCAATTAACTATTTTATTATTCATGCCTATAACACAAGAATCTTCTCAGACTGGCAGTTTATACCTGGCTACACTAGATAAAGTTCAGTGTCATTCAAGGGGTAATCCAATCTTGCCCTTTTGTATCTACATAGTGATCCAGACTAATTCCCCACTTGACTTCTTCTGGCTTGCTCAGCCTCTCTTCAACATACAATAACAGAAACTTGAAAACTCTTCAGAGTTTCTGTCTATTACATTTTATACTAAATGAAGACAGGTTTACATTTCATCATAAAATCTTATGGCATGCTGTGAATGCTCTTTATGCCTTGCCCCAGTTGGTCTATATCAGTAGTCTCAACCTTTTTGGTGGCATGGACTGGTCCCAGGGAGAAAGATTGTTCCACAGACCAGAAAATCTTTGTATCTAACATAGTTTCTTAATATGGAAGCACATCTGTTGCTGAGCAAGGGGTCCTTAGCCAAATGCAGTTAGCATATGAATTGTAGCTGTACCTGTAATAGAAATAATTTGCCTGGTAACTCTAAGTTTTATCACCATTGTTGGCATATGCAATGTGCTGTAAATGGGACTTTCTTGTGAAAATATTAAACCTGTGCTACACATTGCCTTCCAATAGGCTTCTGGATGCAATTCAGAGTGCTAGCTTTTGATCTATACAGTATGTCTTGTACTTAGATTTCCATACAGAATCATGCTATCAATTTGATTGCCCCAGGAAAAAACCGCTGATAGTACCCCACTACAGTACCCCAATAATGAAAAGACAGACAAAAGCTTTGAAACTTGAAGATGCAATTTTTCAGATGGTTGTGTTTTGGAACATTTTCAAACTGAGGTTGGACTTGGCCCCCCTGTGGCCTCTTTTCAGAAAATGTTAAAGACAAAACTCGGTGAAAAACATTTGTATTCTTAAGTATATGATATATAGGATTGTACACTGTTGCTGGATTTTTTAGATTTTTCTCATGATACAATTGATATTTCTTTCAATTTGTTTTTAATTTAGCTTATCAGGGGAATTTCATTTTTCATTTTACCAGGAATCTTCTATATTATATCTTTCATTGTTAATTGCTGGGAGTCCTAATAGAAATTAGAACAGTATGCAAGATGGATAAATGAACTCTGCTAAAACACAAAGCTTCAGTTCATAAGCCCCTTGGATTTAAGTCTTATTTAAATCAATAGGATATGTTATGATGGAAACAAAGATTTCAGGGGAATCCAAAGATTTTGATCTTTGTTTGACAAAATCCAAAAAACTATTCCAGAAATCTTGATGTTATTTAAGAAAAAATGTTATTATCTTTATGTTGCTGTTAAAGGAAATATGTAGCAGCATCTTAGTATTTCAAGTGCATAAGAAAAAAGAACACATTGTTTTAACTCATTCTGACTTTGCATTTCTGCTGTTGTTTTTTTAAAATATAAGTCTATATTTATTTCTATATCTATTTGAGGAAAGAAAGCAATTGTCAAACAGAAACTAATAAACTCTGCAGGAGTGTAACAATCAGAACATATGAAAATTATCTTAGGATAATAAAATAAATTATAAAAAGTGTAATACACAAACAGAGAAATGCTTTGTATATATAAGATGTTTTAAGTGATAGGGCCTGTTTATGTTGTTTGTTAAAATTTTACAGAAATCTTATAAAGCCACAATTGAAAAAAAAATGTTCATTACATACAATTGAAGCCACAATTGAAAAAATGTGTACATTGCATACAAATAAGGCTTTGCTAATGAGAAAACTGAATTAATGTTGCTAGATAGCTTGCACCTAATTCAACTATATAGCATGAACTAAAGCAATTTGAATTATAATTTTTTGAATAAGCTGAATCTGAAAGCAGCTGATAAATAACAAGGAAGAGGAAGAAGAAAACACCAACACCAGCTAAAGAACTGGCAGCTGTGGCTTAACTTTATTGTGTGAGGACCCAGATTGTTGGGGACAATGTAAATATATATATATACATTGCTTACTGGTGTACACCACTTAGAGAGTGCTTGCACTTAAAGCGGTATATAAGTCTCATAAATAAATAAATAAATCACATATTAAATAGTCTGGCTACTTTTCATAATTAATAGATGGCATTAGTCTGTGGTTCTCTGTTCTATATGCTCTTTCGGTCAATCATCTCTTAGTAGATCTTAGTTCTCATGACAATAGCAGAACTCAATCTTATGTTTGTCTTTGCAATATGTTAGTAAATATTTTCTGAAAAGTTGAGATTCTGAATAGAGAATAGCGGTAAGGTTAAAATGAGACGAGCTCTTTGAGAATATGCAGCAGAAATATAAAACAAACTTTTGTGTAATTTTTCCTCAACTTCAACAAGGTTTTTACTTAGTCAAGTTTTTATTTTACTTTTTATTATAGGAAGAAGAATTAGAGACTCAGATTTCATTTCTTCAAGGACAATTGAATGAGTTAGAAGCTATGTGTAAATATTGTGCAAAAATGATGAACATACATCTAGGTAAGAAGGAAGTTCATATTTTAGATATGAAATGATAATGTGTATCTTCTGGATAATGTTTATATTATCAGGTTGATAATATGTTAGGAAAGTATGCATGTAGGTATTTATGCATACAAGCAAAGAATATAGATAACATCAAGCACAATACTAGTAAGCTTAAGTCTCGAAACATTAAATAAAGTTCAAAACATCATAAAAATTGAGAAAGCTGATCTCTAAAAACGTTCAGTCAGGTGTGACCAAACAGATATACGAGAACAATTGTGCCTAAGGTGAGGTGCTGGAGTAGGAGTGGAGAAAGGTAGTGTCTCTGTCAGCCCTATAAAAAGAAATTGAAAACTATCTACCAATCTGCCCTGGATCAGCAGGCACTTGACCAATTCTTTAAAAAAAAAATTATTACATGAAATAGCACCAGATTGTATAGTTACAACTAAAGGACATTTTGGTTTCCTTTCTTTACCACATAATTTGAAATATATTTTTCCTCATTTGAAAAATTATTATGGATTATAAAATTAATATGGATTATAAACCAAACGTTCAAACTGGATTTGGCATTTTTATTAACCTATTGGGCCTTTCTCATGGATCTGGGATAGGTAGATGTGGATGTTTGATGATATTACAGATGTCGTCAGAGGATGTAAACTATTCCAACTAAAGCTGCCTTTTGTACATGACTGATAGTGAATTTGTCAATGCTGATGGAATCCAAGTGGTGCTCCAATTGTTTTGGGATTGCACCCAAGGCACCTATAACCATTGATACTACCTTTCTTTCTTTTGTCAGAGTCATTCTATTTCTATTTGCAGTTCTTTGTAGTTTGTTATCCTCTACAGTTACTTCTCTTCTCTTCTGCTGTCTCTAGTACTTCCACGTGCCATTTTTTCTTTTTATTGGTAATTGTTAAGTCTGGGTATTATTATTACTAAATTTATTTGCTGAATTTCTTGCCTTGGGGTATCTCTGTCAAATCTTTGTTAGGAACCTCATTTAACTTGCATTGCAATATTTTTCATTTTATGTACATAACTTTTTTCTATAATAGTAATCTTTATTAGAAACTAGGTCTGGATGAATTTTCTGTATTTTACCTATAATTTGTGCACAAACTGGATGTTCTCAGAATTCCAAGCAACTTTTGTAACTAATATTGTAAGTGAAGCGTATTGCTTTTCTAGCATTTTTATTTCAATTCTGATCCAGAATTCTTTTCTGCCTGTCATAATTAAATATACTAATGGCTATAATTTATGTATCTCTGACAGTAATTTTCCCACCAAGATCAGGTTTATTAATTTTATCATAATTAATAAAGCTTCAGCTAATTTTTGTATATGTGTACCTCTCTGTATTTATTTAATCCAATCTATAAAGCCACCCATGTCACAAGCAAGGATGGCATACAACAAAACTAAAACAATGGTTAGAAAAGTATATTGCTAATGGGAGAGCATTCCATATCTTTATAATGTGATATCACTGTGTTTCTACTCAACATACTGTTTTTTACCAAAGATTTAATCCACAAACTGCCAAGTTTATAATTGTATTCCTTGTAACATAAAGGAGGAAATGATGACTTAGAGTAGTAATTTTTATTTGTGTGTTTATATAAGAGCTTCCTCATTAACAGCTCATCTACTTCTTTTGCGGCACCACACAATGACAATACAATTGTAGATTTGGGACTTTTTCTTTGTGTTACTATAGAAATGAATGTAAAGCCTTGCATAATAGAAATACAGCATGTGAAACAATGGTATATTGATTTTTGTGGCAAGATTAATATATATGGAAAAGAGCCTTCACATTTTGTAGCTATCCATTGTAATACAGACAACGATATTTGAGAACTTTAGTAGTATTGTATTCATTTTAGGGGTTCATTATTCCAGAGCATTAATAACTGTTCGGTTTTGGATAGGTTTTAATAATGTGAAAGAGTAGACTCTTACCTGCTGAGTTTTGCTATAAAAAACAATGTAGGCTTTGTTTAGTATTTCCTAATACTAGCTTTGTTGCAGTATTAACATTAGGAGCAATCCCAGAAGTATTAATACATGCTATCCTTTTGCAAACATTTTTTAGAGATTAAAAGTGAGGAGGATAAATGTACATGCAGGGACCATCCACAGTGATCCACTGTGTTATTGTTAAACATAATAATATAGTTTAATAATAACTATAGTTAAACATCAATAAAATATTAAACTGATATTGTTCAGAGCCAATTTAATCTTAAAGTTTTAAACAATGCACCTACTCTGATGTGTGCTATAAATTAGTTTTAATTATTGTTATCATTCATTGTCATATTAAATTCTAACCTGTGTAAGAAAAATTACTAGAATTTATAACCAATTTCTAAGTACTTAGTTACAAAACAATATTTTGACAGAACAGACATATTCTGAAGAATGTATATTAATTGCAGGTTTCCTGAAGGAGAATCATGGTTTTTATATGCTTTTGTATAATATGAGTCCTAACTCAAGAAAGTCATTTATGACATAGTAACAAATTTTCTTTGCTTTGCAAATAATTTATATGTCTCATAATTCATTTGTGGAATGAATAAATGCTCATTGTTCCAAAAAAGATGTTCTGTTTTAATGCAGATCATGAAAGTTTTTTTACTTCTAAGAGAATAATTTCAACTATTTCAATCAAAAAATAACATCAAAATCATACTTCAAAGCTAAAATGTTACCAGATATGCATTTTGTCATATGTGCAATACAAATTTATCAATACAAAAAATACAACCATAAACTTGGACAAAATAATAATACCGAGAGAGAGAGAGAGAGAGAGAGAGAGAGAGAGAGAGAGAGAGAGAGAGAGAGAGAGAGAGAGAGAGAGAGAGAAGGAAGATATATTGTTACATTTAAATATTGTATTGATATTTAAATGATATTTTACAAATTACACTGTTTGAGGTAATTATTTTACACTTATTTGATTTAATTGACTAACTTGCATCTTGCCATTTATTCCTATTAATTTAATTTACTGTGTTAATTTATATGGTTAGGTAAATTGTCTGCAAATGTATTAACATCTATAAGTTAAACTATAATGTTACAATATTGCTAGATCCTTCATAAGTAATGTATAAAATCTTTCCATTAGGGAGTAACTAGGAAAATGCAGTAATGTAGACCAATGCTGCAGTGGGGGTTCAAAAGAAAAAGAATCAAAGCTATAAATTATATTCCAAAGCTATGTTTAGATATATTAAATGAAGTATTTTCAGTAAAAGATCAGGATTAGGCCAACCAGAGACTAACACTCTGTCTCTTTCTTGTATGTCCAGAAGATTATATTTTAATTAGTTACAGGTCAGCATTAAGTACAAATCTAAACTGTGGTTACTCCTAATTATTGATGGTAAAGCAAGTCAGTCTGATAACCACAGTATGAAGTTATTTGTTCCACTAGTCACAGCTAATCTTTTAATTTAATGTTTGTTTTAAGTTTGAAGCTTGTTTTAAAAAAATATGGAAATATCTGAAAAATATCTGCCTTTTATTTTATTTAGATAGATAATTTTCCTTCATTAAAAATATTAATGATATACAGTAAAATAAATCAATAAATCAATATAAAGGTTAAAATTGGAAAAAAAGGAATATGACATCAAGATCATTAAAAAGTATAGCAAGGTAAGATCAGACAAAAACAAAACCTGAGTGAGCAGATAGCTACCTAGACCTGACTCCACCTCTAACTAGATAGGAAGTCAATTCCATATTAGGGGTGCCTGAACAAAGAATGTCTTCTCTCAGCTTGTCATTTACTATCCACCCACTTCAGTCGTACTCTTCCATAGAAGTAGGTTGACAAAATAGGACTTTTGGAGGTCCAGAGAATTTTAGGATAATATGATTTTGGCTGCTTGTTCTGCCATGATTGTTAACAGACACTGTTAACAATCTAAATAGCATCTTCTAATTCAGATAGTCATTCTCAATGACTTCATAATAGGTGTTGAGTAAACATAGCAGTGACTGAAAGGAACCTGTAGAACTCATAACTATGTTACTATGATTTTAAGGTATTTATGTGAGTGGAAGAATTACAGTACTGTACTCCAGATCCCCCCTCACAGATTCCCAGTCTCTCAAAATCAGAAATTCGGTCATAACAGGAATAGTCCTAATGATTATTGAAACTTCACAGTAAGCAGCCACTAAATTATTAGCACTTTCTTTGTTAAAATCTATTGGATCCAGTAGCTTTCTTTTAGAAGTGGATTTGCTATTGCTTTCTTCAAAGCATTTCATACCTGTCCCTTTTTTATGGGTGTATTTATCACTCACAGCTCTCAGGCAGCTGTCCCTTTCCCATTCAGTTAGATCCAAGCAGCTAAGAAAGAATATTTAAAAGATATAATGTTGCATATCTTTTAAAAACTAAAATTGACCCCAACATTGAATTAAATTGGTCACGGAATATCTAATTCAAATTTACAACAATGAAGGCATCCTGTTGAAAGTCTCAAAACTGCACAAACCCTGCTGAGCTGCAGTAAGCCTTCTGTCAAACCTTCAAAACACTCTGCATTCAGCCATATTTCTTCGTTTTTTTGGTTGTCACAGCAATGGGAGGGGGGAGATGCATTCTTATAGCTTAGTCAAAACAATAACTTTCTTGTGGGAACCAAGGTCAAGCAGCCTAAGAATTTGTTGTTAGGAAGTCCTTCAAAGGTGTTAATTGGGGATTGTGATTTATGACACACTAAGGGGTGGGGAGTTCAACTTTTACTTTGTAACCTTTGGGGGGGCACTTTCAGTCTTGGTTTCACCTTTGTTCGTGCTGATATTATATAGCCATTAAAAGTGTTCTTTGAGGAAAGTAATTGCCTCAGAGTTCTTATTTCTACTGGTCTCATCTATCGGAACCATGATACCTTTGTTGTCTTTATTGCACAATAGTAGCAAAAAAATAAGACTCTATGGGTAATAAAGATGCTCATATAAACAGATGCTCATGGAGATCATTATCAGTGGCTTGTGATATCCCAAAGAGAAATGCTTCAGCATTATTCCTGTCATCTGGAAAATAACTCAAGAGTGTTCAAGAATTCTTCATGTTCCATGTTTATGAGGGTGGATTAACATCTTCCTTAGATATGTCAGTGGAAAAATAACAAATGGACTGTGTTCTAGAAGTTCTATTTCTTATATCAGTAGCAAGTAAATGTTTCACCTAATTTCAACTATTGCCACTATACAAAACTCCTAGGCCCATACAAAAGGGGCTGTGATGTTTTTTAGAACATCACAGTTTAGTTTGAACAGAAATTCTCTCCAGGATTTAAGAGAATATATTGCACATATGTACCATATCATTAACATTAGAATGATTTATTTGTCTAATAATTTAGATCACATCATTCTAGCATCTCTGTCATATTCAGAGCAGATCTAAAAATCTAATCTTTAAAATGAGAAAACAGTACAAAAATTACATATTAAGCATAAAAAAGCAGAAGTCTGGTAAAATAATAACTGAACAAATATGAGTCATTTATGTGAATCAACAGACGTAACAGAAATCCATGTCACAGGCACATATTATTTGCATTCTGCCTTATTGCTGCAACTGTTGAAAAGTACTTGTGCTCAGAAACGGTCATGTTTATCTTTAATTTAATTATACTGTATTAAGCTTTGTATTTATAAAAGTCCTGAACATTTTTTTTAAATTTTTAGCTACTTGTGATTTTTAACAACATTTTTAAAAACCATAAAAGCATGTCTTTTTCATAGAAATAAACATGAGTCTGATTTATTGATACTGACATTATAGGAAATATTCAAGAAGTCATCCTGCAAGAACACTTGGAAAAAGAAGATGAAATTTTAGTTTCTTTGGCTGGGCTGAAGCAGGTATGAAAGAAAAGTAATTTTAATATTTTATTGATCAACATAAATCTTAATGTTATATTTTAAAAAATTAGTGCAGGGGAAAACTAAATTTCCCTAGACTACTCATATGTCTTAGAATACTAGATAAATTTTCTCTGGGAACAGACCTTGATTGACTGAAACACCCTACCATTTTAATTGTTACTTTCCTCATGGCCATTAGCAGCCAGAGCTTTCTGTTTTCTTGCTCTGTGACAATAGTATTCTTCCAGGAATTATCTAAAAGTCCTGCCACTATTTCCAGAGAGGTATGGCTACCAAGTTCTGGCCATCTATTTCCACTTTCTCTCCCCCCAATATAATCAATAGTGTGGCTTTTACTGTGTACAGCCAGGGAGATAGAATCATAGTAAGCCACTACCTTCATCCCAATGATTCCCAGTTTTTCCCAGGTGCTGTTCAAAGCATGAAATGTGAAATTCCAATTAAACTGATTTATTACATTATTATTTACTGTAACTTTGCATGGCATATGTCAGCAGTTTAATGACATCAGAACCAGTTGTGATATTCTTTTAAGTGCATGTGCCCTGCCTCGTCATTTTGCCTAAAAGATTCATGAGTTCCCTAAAGCTTTTACTGAGAAACACTGTTGGCCATTTTCTACAGTACATGTTTTAATCATGTAAGATAGTTGATGATAGGCTAGTTCTCTCAAGAGAATCTAGGTAGGCCTTTTTAGATTTCATCCAAAGAATGCATTTTTCCCCTTATCTTCAACAGATTAAAGATATTCTGAAAGGCTCCCTCCGTTTCAATCAGAGCCAATTGGAAGCAGAAGAGAATGAACAGATTACAATAGAAGATGATCATTATTGTTCCAGCAATCAGAGCAAGAAGGCAGTTGAAAACATAGAAAACCCGTCAGCTCCAAAGCAGTCTGTCCCTCTATTGAAGAAGGTAAAATGCATGCTTTTCAATGAAATCCTTGAAAAGAATGTGTCCGTCAAAAAGTGTATTATTATAGTTCAAAAATAATTTAAAAACTTATACAAACCCAATCTAATGCATCCTTATGTACCAAGAAGCTCACGGAATTTGTGTGTTTTGTAGTTATAATATTTAGTATTAATTTTTCATTTTAATTTTAACAGACCTATCTTCTAGGCCAGAGGTTTCCAACCAGGGATGCGAGACGATATTCCAGGGGGTGTGAAAACTTGGGTTTTCAAAATTATAGTGCATATGCATAATCCATTGCTGTTATTTTGTAAGGGGTGCGAGAATATATCAGAAGAATTCTAGGAGTGTGGGGTATAGAAAGGGCTGGGAGCCGCTGTTCTAGGCTAACATTAAGCCATAACAGTTGTTCCAACACAGTGGTCCTTGTTTAATAACCATTCATTCAACAACCAATCAAAATGACAATAGTGCTGAACGAATTGATAGTTATGTCCAGTCCTTGAAGTTAATTGTTGTAGCATCTGTGTAGTCGTGTGATCAAACATACTTCAGCTCCCACAACCACCGATTGCTTCCCCGTCTCTCCTCTTTTGGCAGCTCTGCATTCTGCACCCACCATCTACTACTGATACCAACCCTTCTGCTTGGCTTGGTGACCTTATCAGCACTGAGAAGAATATAGCAAAAATTCGGGTTATATACAACCTCTTTAGCATTATAGAGTTGCTAAATCTTTATAGGAAATTATTCAATTACAATATTGTAATGTAAAATGAGGAACCTCTAAACCAGGGGTGTCAAACTGCCAGCCCACAGGTCAGTTGCATCATGCAGAGGCCACGCGCACACCAGCTCCAGCAATGTGAAAAAAGTCACAATACGTCACGACACATAACTTGGCGAGTTTGATACCCATGCTCTACACTAAAAGATCTGTGGCATTTACTAATATTAACTACAATGCTATAAATTGAAAGTAACACATAAGAACTTATTGACATTGGAAAAAGAGATTTTGATATTTTAAAAAACTACAAAGATGAATTAGATACCAAAATAGTTCCCGATTATCATTCATATATTGAGTACTCCTGTTCCTAAGGCTTTGGTTCCCCATCTTTTTTAATGTCAAATTTAATTCAGTTTCTTATAAATTGTTACTAGAGGTAGTCCTCAACTTTGTATCAGTTACATAAAGAAAATTAGATTCTAAATCAATAAACATAAAAGCCTTATATTACACCAGAATAAGTTAGCTTGTTTGTTATATGGCTTTAGAAAAAAGGATAGTATAACAAAAAAAATTATTGGTAAAAGTCACTATAGTTTATAGTGGATGAACAAATAAAAGAAAGATAAAATATTTTTATGTTTTTATTCTTTATATTTTTAACATTTAATATACTTATTTAATTTATATGAATATAATAAATTATAATGTATTTTATTTAAATAATTACGCCTGTGATTTATATATTTAAACAAGCTAAATTGCTCAATGAAGATATTAGAAACTGTTTTTGTCTTCATTTCTTCTAATGTAATAGCACAAAATTTGTTCACTTTCACATGATCCCAATTGAAAAAACGAGGTTTTGCATTAGGACCATTTAAAACATCTGCTGATAATGGGGTTAGGAGGAAATAGATAAAATACAGAGTAGGTAAAACATACAGTGCAGTTCAGGAAGACTTTTGCTGTTATGTCAATTCTGCATCTGAGGATATGCAGAGCTCTTCTTAAACAGGAATGTTGCTAAATCTTCATCAATTTCAAAGGTAGGATAGTAGGAGCTCTCACCCTTTGTCTCCCAAAAAATAATCTCTGGGAGATAAGAGGAGCTCAACTTGTATCTGGAAAAAAGCTCACTTTCTTCCCTTTGCCCAGGAAGAAAGTTCCGAGCCGCAAAACAGCTGATCGTCGCTGTCTGCCGGCTCTTACACGATCCCGAGACAGGCGGCTAAGAAAAAAGCCGCCATCGGTGCGGCAAATGCCACCGGAAGTCTAAATCTTTTCTTGATTGACACTTGAAGGGTCCTTGCTTCTCCTAAGCTTGGTTGTTTTTTTTGTTTTGTTTTGTTTTTTTGGTAGATATTTCATTACTCAAACTAGGTAACATCATCAGTGCTAGTGAGAAGTGGGGTTTGCTCCAAGTTTACATTCTAGTAGCTTGTCCTGTCACTCTTAGAGGTTCTTTGGTTGGTTGTTTATTCTTGGCTTATTTGGCAGTTCCTTGATTGGGGTAATGTTTACTTGATCATTGGTCTGATCTTAATCTTGGGGTTAATCTATGCTCATCTGGATGCTGATTGCTGATGGGGAGATCTTTTGATCTTTTTATTCCTTTTTTGTCTTGTTGGTTTTCTCTTTTCCATAGTATGTAGTTATTGTTTATGTCTATGTGTTTATTGGTGGCTAGAAATTGTCTTAATGTTTTCGGACTTAGTCTAGAATGGTCACAATTTCCCAACTGAAACAATGGTTAAGTCTGCCCATATATTGTGAAATTAAAGAGTTTTCATCATGCCTTCTGACTGCTAGTTGGTGTTCATGGATGCATTTTGCCTCTCTTCTGCCTGTTTGTCCTATATAGGGCTGATGCAATCATTACACTGTATGTTGCAGATGACCCCTGCTTTTTCTTGGGGTTACTTAGGATATTTTGAATGGCTTTAGTTGTCTTGGGTGCTATGCTGATTCTGTGTGGTTGTGGTAGTCTGTTGGTAGTTTCTGAGATGTTCTTGAACATCTTGTATTGGTTGTGCTGTATTAGATTGAATGGTCAGGCACTTTTTTATAAAATTGTGTGAATATCCATTTTGTTGGAATATGTTGCATAAATATTCTGTTTTCTTTTTCTCTTCAAGGTTGTTACAGTTGGTGTTTGTCTAAAGTTCTTAGGCAGCTTCTTTTGTGGGAGGTAGGGTTGTTGCTTTGGTGGTGAAGCACTTGGTTGGTGTGAGTGGTTATTCTCTACACTTTTGTTTCTAGTTTACCATTGTGATCTCTGCTGATCAGGATGTCCAAGAAGAGCAGTAATATGTTGTTTTTTCCTTACCTGGTAAAGTAGATTCCTTTGAAAAGTAGATGATTCTATGGATGTTCTCTAATTGGTCCTTTCTTATTAAAGTGAAAATGTTATTTACATATCTGATCCATATTTTGGGTTGTATTTGTGGAAGTGCTGTGGCTTCTAGATGTTGCATAACATCTGAAACTAGCGATTCCATAGGTGTATTTTTAATTTGTAGGTAAATTTGTCCATCAAATTGGAAGTATGTAGTTAGGCAGAGGTTTATGAGATCCATAATCCTGAGTTTTTCAGTTCAGTATTTGGTTAAGTCGGGTGCTGGGGAGCAATGTGGATTCAATAGATTCTTTGGCTAATTCCAAATCTATAGACATAAACAGTGCTCACAGTGTAAAAATGATTTCTGGCCTGGATCATCTAGATCAGGGCTTTTCAACCGATGGTATGTATACCATTGGTGCTACTTTGGCACCTGGCAGGTGGTAAGTGTATGACGGGTTGAAAAGCACTGTAAAAAAAAGTGATACAATCAGTGAAAAGGTTGAAAAGCCCTGATCTAGACGATGGACCATGCACAGCAAGTTTGGTCTAAACTTAACTTAACTCTGAGGTTAACTCTGAAGCAAGGTCTTTGGGATAAATATTGGCATACTATAAGAAAAAGACTATTGCTGCAATGGAACCTCTAAATAATTCCATTAAAAATTGGAAAAAAACATTAATCAGGCTTTCACTGTCTGTATAAACAAAGTATGGAACATAAAAAGAGATATTAATACAGAAAAACAAATATAATTGAACACTCATAATGAAGACCTGTGTGACAGTTTATATTAGAATATAGACATTAAATAAAATAATTTGTTCCAAAGGAATACAAACAAAAGAAAAGGAGACTGGAATCTGTGGTAAAATACCATTTTACATTCCAGAATTCTAAAGAATTAATATGTCAATATTCTAAAGCTAACCTAATGTAAAATAAATGGACAAACAAATAGAAACAAGGCTGTCGTTCATGTCTATTGTCAACCTCCCCAATAAAACGACAAGCATGATGCCACAATTGCGAATCTTGCAATGAACCCTGAAACTGCAATGATAAAGAATTGAATTAATTCAGTGCCTGCTAAAAGTCAAACTTCCAAGGGTGATTCTTTAAGAAATTACTGATTCACCTTGCTGACAATATTCTCCTTCAGAGGATGAAGAAAAGTTGAGGAAGATCAGCTGTGCTTGATCTGTTTCTAATCAGAAGTTTAGCTAAAGAAGTAGAAGAAAGAATTATGAAAAACTGCAGTTCTTGGTTTTATAGTTAAATATGTATTTAATGAAATATTTGTTTAGATACTTAATGGTAAGCAGAAATGTTCTGTTATCTGTCTTTATTTTTTTTTCTCTCTGGTGATGAATTATGGAGCCAGTTCAAGTAGATGAAGAAAATAGCAGTCTGTAATATCAGAGGAAAACTAATTTGAGGTGAAACAGCTAAGAATATAAGAAATATTTCATATATTTTTAAGACAGAAGCTTGGATGGGACAGTCTCTGTTCTTTATTCTCAGAATGTCCACCTTCAGTGTCCTTGTAATATTACTTCTCATTCACTCCTTCTCCTTTTTTGTTTCCTTTATAGGAAAGGGCTATATCAGAAAATGCTCCACTTATATCTCATTCTCATACAACGTTACATGCTACTATCAGATGTATGGTGATTGTTGATTACATTCAGTACCATGCAAAAGTGTTCGGCAGTTGTGCAAAAATGCTACAATTTTAAGAATACTTTCAGAAATAGAAGTGTTAATCGTTTATTTCTCTCAATTAACAAAAATGGAAAGTAAAGGAACAGAAGAGAAATCCAAATCAAATCAATATTTGGTGTGATTACCCTTTGCCTTCACGACAGCATCAGTTCTTACACTTGCATGCTTGCAAGGTTGAAATGCAGTTATTAACTGAAACA